TCTACCATCCAACCAATCAACCATCCAACCAACCATCCAACCAATCTACCATCCAACCAATCAACCATCCAACCAATCAACCATCTAACCAACCAATCAACCATCTAACCAACCAATCAATTACCCGACTAAACAATCAATCACCTGACCAACTAACCATCCAACCAATCAACCATCTAACCAACCAATCAACCATCTAACCAACCAATCAACCATCTAACCAACCAATCAACCATCTAACCAACCAATCAATTACCCGACCAAACAATCACCCGACCAACTAACCATCCAACCAATCAACCATCTAACCAATCAAACATCTAACCAACCAATCAACCATCTAACCAACCAATCAACCAATCATTCAACTAAACAACCAATCATCCAACTAAACAATCAACCATCCGACTAAACAACCAATCACCCGACTAACCAATCAATCACCCGACCCACCAGAGAATCACAAACGACGACATAGAAGGCAACAGCACGTACGTCATCAAGTTGATGTCGGTGAACGACAAGGGGGAGAACTCGAACTCTCTCCAGGACATCTACATCGCCACCCCCAACAGACCCCCCAATAACCACCATACAGGCAACCCCTTCCACACTCCCGGTGGTAGGGACGGTGGTGGTGAAGCTAGCCAGGGGGATTTTGGCTCGCATGCCCTTATATCCATCCTGGTGACTCTTTTGATTGTACTCATGTGCGCTTCTGTTGTCCTTGTCTATTTCATGAATAGGTTGGTCGGTTGGTTGGTTGGTTGGTTGGTTGGTCGGCTCATTGGTGGTCTGTTGGCTGATTGGTTGGCTAGTTGATTGATTGATTGATTGATTGATTGATTGATTGATTGATTGATTGATTGATTGATTGATTGATTGATTGATTGATTGATTGATTGATTGATTGATTGTCGCCGCATCACCACAAATAGAAGACTTAGATTGAAAAACTTATCTCGAAACTCGCACGGGGCCAACATGCTCTTCCGGAAGTCGAACCAGATGCAGAACGGATCGATGATCCTCGAGGATGACTTCGACCTCCTCCCGTCTCACCACCACAACCGGAAACACAACATGGACGCTAACAAAAAGTTCAAGGTCAGTGTCAAGGCCTGGGGTGAAAGGTCAAATGTTGAAGTCCACAGTTGAGGGAATGGTAAGGGAGAGAGAGAGAGAGAGAGAGAGAGAGAAATTTCAATTCGATGATAGTTGTCATGGTAACGCGGTAATGGTTTGCTCGTGCTGCACACAAACTCAACAACCACACACAAACACAGCAACCCCACATAAACTCAACAACTACACACAACCACACAGAAACTCAACAACCACACAGAAACTCAACAACCACACACAACCACAGCAACCACACACAATCATCATCATTATTATTGTTGTTATTGTTGTTGTTGGATTTTTTTCCAGGCAAAGCCGAAGCCTCGAATCGTTCGTCCAGCGATCCCGATTGACGAACTGGAGAGCTACGTGAGGGCGAGGAGTGAGAATGCATGCGAGGAACTGAGGAAGGAGTATAAGGTAGGTAGGTTGGTTGGCTGGCTGGCTGGCTGGTCGTGATGTGATGTGATGTGGTGATGTAAAGACGATGCTGTCGTCGTTGTTGTTGTTGTTGTGAAGATGATATTGTTGTAAAGATGATGTTGATGTAATGTTGTTGTTGTTGTTGTTGTTGTAAAGATGATGATGTTTTTGTTGTTGTTGTTGTTGTTGTAAAGATGTTGTTGTTGTTGTAAAGATGATGCTGTTGTTGTTGTTGTCGTAAAGATAATGTTGATGTCATGATGTTGTCGTAAAGATGACGCTAAGCGCTAACAAGAATGCATCACACCTCATCTCCTCCTCCATCCATAACTCGGCAGGAGATACCCGAAGGCAACGTGGAAGCCACAACTGTATTCGGCATGAAGATGGACAACAGACTGAAGAACAGATTCATCAACATCATACCATGTACGTGTCGTCATTGTTGTTGCTGTTGTTGTTGTTGTTGTTGTTGTTGTTGAGTATTCTGTTGTTGCTGTTGTTGTTGATGCTGTTGTTGATGTTGCTGTTGCTGTTGTTGTTGATGTTGTTGAGTATGTTGCTGTTGTTGTTGATGTTGTTGAGTATGTTGTTGTTGATGTTGATGTTGATGTTGCTGTTGTTGTTGCTGTTGTTGTTGCTGTTGTTGTTGCTGTTGTTGTTGTTGTTGTTGTTAATGTTGTTGAGTATGATGTTGTTGTTAATGTTGTTGTTGTTGTTGTTTTATTTACCTAGTGTGGTCATCTTAGCAGAAATACATACGCTGTAATTTTCATAAGATATACGTTATAATTTTCATACATTCATACATACATTCACACAAACATACATACATACATACAAACATACATACATACATACATACATACATACATACAAACATACATTCACACACATACATACATATACAAACATACACACACACACTCATACATACACATACAGACACATACAAACATACGCACACATACATACAAACATACACACACATACAAACAAACACACATGTAGATGACCACTCGAGGGTTATCCTGGAGACTCAGGAGGGAGACCCAAACTCAGATTACATCAATGCCAACTACATTGATGGATACAACAAACCGAAGTTCTACATTGCAGCTCAGGTACTTTCATTTGTATCTGTCGCTATTGGTGTGTGTGTGTGTGTGCGTGTGTACGTGTGTGTGTGTACGTTACATATTCGTATTTATTTATTAGTATTTTTATTTTACTTAAATCCTTACTTAAGATTTTTCGTTTTCTGTTTTTTTTTTAAGATCTACATACACACACATACATAGATACATATATACACACACACACATACACAACACACATACATACAAACATACATACATACACGCATACAAAAATACATACATACATTAAAGTGTTAACCCTTTTAATCAGATGTTTGACTGTTTGGTGTCATTCATCACGATTTGGTTTTAACATACATACATACATTAACGACAAATCAAAGTGTTAATCCATTTGTTACTTGATGTTTGACGGACACACACACACACACACACACACACACACACACACACACACACACATACACATACATACAAACATACATACATACACGCATACTTACACACACATACACACACACACAAGCATACACACACATACACACACATACGTACAGGGATGCAACAAGTGGTCGGTACAGGACATATGGAGGATGTTGTGGCAGGAGAACTCGTTGAGGATTGTTATGCTCACTAACCTAGTCGAGAAGGGGAGGGTAGGTATTTCATTTTTGTTGTTTTTATTTTTGTTGTTATTATTATTGTTTATTGTAGTTATTATTCGTGTTTTGATGCTTGCTTTGTTTTTTAGCAATTTTAACCGTAGTAGTTATGGAAGTTTTGACAACTTGAAATGTACACACTGCAAGTAATTTTCTCTCTCTCTCTTCTCTCTCTCTCACTCCTCTTTCTCTCTCTCTCTCTCTCTCTCTCTCTTGCTTTTAGTTTCTCTCTCTCCCTCGCTTTTACTTCCCTCATCATCATCATGCTCATGCTACCATCCTCAGCCCAAGTGTGAGCAGTACTGGCCAGACCAGCTCAACGAGGAGAAGTCGTACGGGGACCTCGGCGTCACACTCACTAGCGTTGAAAGGTAGCTGCTGCTGCGTGATGATTATGATTGTGATGGTTATGATGATGACGATTGTGATGGTTATGTTGATGATGGTATGGTTATGATTTGTCTCTGGATGCTAAACGAAGATTGATTGATTGGTTGATGAAGATGATTGCGATGGTTATGATGATGGTCGTGATGGTGTGGTTATGATGATGGTGGTGATGATGATTGCGATTGTCTTCTGTCGAAATGTCGACCGATCAGAATTTTGATTTCTTCGTTTTGATTCCCTCGTCATTATGTTACGTCATCGTTACGTCATCGCCAGATCCTCTAGTCACGTGATCAGATCGTTTACAGTCCGCAAATGCTTGGTCGACCACAACGGCAGCACGACGACGGCCAACGGTTATCAGGGCAACGAGTTTCAGGGCGAAAACGGTGGGGCCTCTGTTTCGGTGGCCCCCAAAAACAATGGCGTCGTGGCAAGCGGGAAGGGCTCAACTGACCCCGAGCCAAGCAACAACAACAATAATAATAATAATAACAACAACAAAAAGAAATCGTCTATATCGCTATCGTCACCAAAAGCTCGATCGTCTGCTTCATCGTCGTCGTCGTCTCCGGCAGCCAACCATGGAAAGTGGTCTCAGGTGACGTCATCCATTTCGCCGACCAATCAGAGACCGGTATCGTCCCCAGCGGCGTCTTCTTCGATCTCCTCACCTTCGGGTCTGCCCGGTAGTAATAAGGGTAGAGTGGGTGAGAAGGTGGCGAGTGGAGAGAATGAGAACCAGGAGGAGGAAGAGGAGGAAGATGTTGATGTCGGGAAGGGTGAGAAGGAAAGTTTGTTGTCCAGTAGTGTTAACAACAACAACAGCAGCAACAACATCATTAATAACGTTGGAAATAGCAACTTCATCAACAACAACAACAACAAGAGGACATCGGCTGTTGATAATTCACTGACCAGATCTTCAATAGCCAGTGGCAGCAGCAACAAACCAATAACGACAACATCATCATCGTCGCCACTGCATGCGACATCATCGCCATCGACGACGACAGCAGCAGTAGTAGCAGCGCTATCGTCATCGTCGTATAGCAGCAAGCAGCCAGCAACGTCAACTCCACAACATCAACAGCAACCAACGACGTCATCGTCGCCACCGACAGCTATGGCAGCCACTACAGAGGCGATATACGAAAACTGCTCCCCTGAAAACATCTACGCCAATGTATTCCCGGCGTCGAAGAAGGGCCCCCCTACGCCCAAATGTGACCCGTGGATCGAGGAGAGCAGGGAGATTAAGCAGTTCCACTTCACGGCCTGGCCCGACCATGGCGTGCCCTACCACACGTCACCACTCATCATGTTTAGGAACAAGGTTGGTGATGAAGGAATGTGATGATGATGGTGGTGTTGGATGGTGGATGGGATAGTTTTGATGGGGAGGGGATTGACTACGAGAAAGAGGAAAATTGTGGTGATGGTGATGATGATGATGGTGGTGGTGGTGGTGGTGGATGGGATAGTTTTGATGGGGAGGGGATTGACTACGAGAAAGATGAAAACTGTGGTGATGATGATGATGATGATGATAAGAAGGTGAATGATGATGATTATGATGACGTTTTTAGTGATGATGATTTTTTATGATGTTGATGATGGTGACTCATTTAATAGGTAAGAAAGTTGGATTCATCGCATCCTGGTCCCATTATTGTACACTGCAGGTTGGCGAGCATAATAATTACTTCTTTCTCTCTCTCTCTCTTTCTCTCTCCCTCTCTTTCTCTCTTTTTCTCTTTCTCTCTTTCTACAAGCCACACCATCGTCATCCCTCTCACTACTACCCACCACTCGCTGCCACAAACAGTGCCGGCGTTGGTCGCAGTGGAACGTTCATAGCCCTGGACCACCTGCTGGAGCAAGCCGAGAAGGAGGGCAGGGTAGATCTGCACGGGCTGACCCACAACATGAGGGCCAACAGATGCAACATGATTCAAACTGTCGTTAGTAGTCTGCCACCAGTGTTATTGCTGTAGCAGCAGTAGTAGTAGTAGTTTTTTTTTTTTTTTTTTTTTCTTCTGTAACAGATGCAACAACCAAACGTAATTCGGGGGCTGTGTTGTTTTAGTAATGTTGTAGTAGTACATCCTACCTCGGGAAACCGGGTCTCTGGGTTAGGGTTAGGGTTAGGGTTAGATTGATTGATTGATTGAATGTTGTAGTAGTAGCACTTATTCTAACTTTAGGAAAGCTAGCGAATGTTCTGCCTGTCAACGAACGTTCAGTTTTAAGCCATTTCTGGAGAGTGAAAGTATAATAGTATAATTATAGTAGTTATAATTAAAAATAGAAAATATAGTAGGTTAAAACTTGAAAAAAGTGTTGTGGTACTAAAAGGTACTAAAAAATTTAGTAGGTTAAAACTTGAAAAAAGTTATTTTGTTGTAGTAGTTCTTTTTTTAACTTTAGAAAAGCTAGCGAATGTTCTGCCCGTCAACGAACGTTCAGTTTTAAGCCATTTCTGGAGATTGTAAGTTATTATAGTATAATTATAGTAGTTATAATTAAAAATAGAAAATATAGTAGATTAAAACTCGAGAAAAGGCTAGCGGACGAACGTTCGCTTAAGAACTTTGAGTTTTAAGCCATTTCGGAGAATTACAAAGCATCATTAGTGGTAAAATGGAATGTTTCTGTCGCGAAATAAAAAATAATTGATGTTTATAATGAGTTGGTTGTTGTATTAGTTGTGTGGGTTTGGTTGGTATCACGCTCAGGTTTACAACTTAGATTCGTCGATTTTAAGACAAGTTTTTTCAGTATCTTTAGAAGTATCCTTTTAGTGGTATCTTTTTAGTAGTATCTTTTTAGAAGTATCTTTTTAGTGGTATCTTTTTAGAAGTATCTTTTTAGAAGTATCCTTTTAGTGGTATCTTTTTAGTGGTATCTTTTTAGTAGTATCTTTTTAGAAGTATCTTTTTAGTGGTATCTTTTTAGAAGTATCTTTTTAGAAGTATCCTTTTAGTATCTTTTTAGTGGTATCTTTTTAGTAGTATCTTTTTAGAAGTATCTTTTTAGAAGTATCCTTTTAGTGGTATCTTTTCAGAAGTATCTTTTTAGTGGTATCTTTTTAGTAGTATTTTTTTAGAAGTATCTTTTTAGAAGTATCCTTTTAGTGGCATCTTTTTAGTAATATCTTTTTAGTAGTATCTTTTTAGAAGTATCTTTTTTAGTGGTATCATTTCAGAAGTATATTTTTAGTAGTATTTTTTAGTAGTATCTTTTTAGTGGTATCTTTTTATGTAAATCTAACTAGCTCTGTTGTCAAACAACACACACACACACATAGAGAGAGAGAGAGAGAGAGAGAGAAAGAGAGAGAGAGAGAGAGAGAGAGAAAGGAGGGCGGCAACATGTGAATTATGAGATGATGATTAAAATAGAATAGAATTTATGAATAATAGAAAGTAATTACTGCATTAAATAGGACGATATGAGGTAGAAGAATAGAAGAAAGATGAAGATGTTTTTTTTGATGATACTCTTGTCGTGCCGTATCTTTGTACTTTTAGGATTGCTCCAGTTGTATTTCGCTATGACGTTTGAATACTTTTATTGTAATACTAATGAAATGTACACCCACACACACACACACACACACACACACACACACACACACACACATACATACATACATACATACGCATGTTGTTGATACATACATGCACACATACATACATACGTACGTACATACATACATAAGATAAACGTTACATAAAACAATACATTTCAATATTATTACAAAGATTTAATGGCATATGGAGGGAGCAACGAAGTACCTTTCTGTGCAGGAACCCCGAACATAAATAAACACTGGAACCTGAAATTGATTTTAGCTCCTTCATAGCTTTTATCAACAAGGGAACCATACATACATATATACATACATACACACACACTTACATACGTGCATGCATACATACATACATACATGCATACATACATACATACATAAAGGAACAGTACATATTTGTATACGAAGCTCTGACCGAAGCGTTAAAATCCAAATCAACGACCATAAGTTTGACTGAATTCGAATCTAAGTACGCTGAAATGAAGAATGTCGAGGGAATGCTGGTGGGACAATTTGAGGTTTGTTGGTTGGCTGGCTGGCTGGCTAACTGGATGGTTAGCTGGTTGTTTGGTTGGTTGGTTAGCTGGTTGGTTAGCTGGCAGGTTGGTTGACTGACTGGTTGGTTGGTTGATTGATTGATTCGCTGGTTGATCAATTTACTAGTTATCCAAGCGATTAATGTTTGAGTGGATGAATCATTTATTTGGTCGACTAATTGGTTGTTTGGAAAATAATTCGCTTGATTGATTGATTGATTGATCAATTGACTGATTGATTGATTGATTAATTGATTGATTGACCGATTGATTGATTGATTGATTAAGTGATTGATTAAGTGATTGATTGATTGATTGACCGATTGATTGATTGATTGATTGACCGATTGATTGATTGACACATCGCAGAGATTGAAATCATTTTGTTATCCGCACCCTGATGAGCACTGTGATGCTCTCCTGCCTATCAACGCCGGCAAGAACAGAAGTAATGACATCATACCTGGTTGGTTGGTTGATTGGTTGGCTGAATGATTGATTGATTGATTGATTGATTGATTGATTGATTGATTAGTAGGTTGATTGATTAGTAGGTTGATTGATCCATAAGTTGATTGGTTGGTTGGTTGATTGATCAATAAGTTGATTGGTTGGTTGGTTGATCTGTAAGTTGATTGGTTGGCTGATTGATTGATTGATTGATTGATTGGTTAATTGGTTGGTTGATTGATTAATTGGTTGGTTGATTTGGTTGGTTAATTGGTTGGTTGATTGATCTATAAGTTGATTTGTTGGTTGGGTGATTTATAAGTTGATTGGTTGGTTTACTGATTGATTGATTGATTGATTGATTAATTAGTAGGTTGATTGATCCATAAGTTGATTGGTTGGTTGATCTATAAGTTGATTGGTTGGCTGGTTGATTGATTGATTGGTTGACTGATTGGTTGATTGATTGATTTCAACCAGACGACAACCACCGTCCCTATCTGATGACACAGGTCGAGGGCACTAACAACTACATCAATGCTATCCTACTAGATGTTTGTCCTGAAGATTTTTTCATCTTAATTTAAACCATAACTCGCTAATATAATTTATCATAATTATAGGTGACCAATCATAATTTGTCGTAATTATAGGTGACCAATCATAATTTGTCGTAATTATAGGTGACCAATCATAATTGGTCGTAATTATAGGTGACCAATCATAATTGGTCGTAATTATAGGTGACCAATCATAATTTATCGTAATTATAGGTGACCAATCATAATTTATCATAATTAATTCGTCATAAAAATTAATAATTATTGGCCTAGTTGATTAACCTTAATTACAAAAGTCCCAAACATCTGAGCGCACGGTCTGATCTTAACACCCATGTCCCTTCTTAACATTTCATCTTTTCGTTTTGCTCCATACATAATTCATCAAAATTTACCATAATTATTCACAAAATTCACCATAATTATTCATAATTCACCATAATTATTCATAATTCACCATAATTATTCATAATTCACCGTAATAATTCGTAATAGTTTATAATTTATTTTTCATAATTACCAGAGCTTCGGGTATCCAGGCCGTCTGATCTTTCATATATTCTACTTTACATATAATTCATCGGAATTCACTAATTCATTATTATTCATAATTCATGATTATTCCTAATTTCTGATCAAACTGCCTGATCTCAACACATATGTCCCTTCTATACATTTCACATATAATTCATCATAATTCACATTAATAATTCATAATTTATAATCATAATAAATCATATGTACAAGAACTTCAGACACCTGAACAGTCTGATCTTGACTCATTTCATCATTCTACCTTACATATCTTCACATATAATTCATCAAAATTATACCTTCACATCAGGATTCATCTTCACATCAGGATTTATCATTATTCATCAGAATTATTCATAATAATTCATAATTTATGGCCATAATTAGTCATAATTACCAGAACTTCAGACACCTGAACAGTCTGATCTTGACTCATTTCATCATTCTACTTTACATATCTTTACATATAATTCATCAAAATTATACCTTCACATCAGGATTTATCATAATTTATCAGAATTATTCATAATAATTCATAATTTATGGCCATAATTAATCATAATAACCAGAGCTTCAGGCATCCGAACAGTCTGATCCTCACCCAGATGCCCCTCTTGAATACGGTCATCGACCTCTGGCGCATGGTCCGCGACCACAAGTGCTGCTGCATCGTCATGCTTAACCACTTCGACGGCTCCGACGAGGTTATTATTATTATAAACACACACAGACACAAACAAACACACACACACAGACACAAACATACGTACAAAGACACAAACACACACACAGACACAAATAAGCACGCACACAGACACAAATAAACACACACACAGACACAAACAAACACACACAGACACAAATAAACACACACAGACACAAACAAACACACACACAGACACAAACAAACACACACACAGACACAAACAAACACACACACAGCACATACAAACAAACACAGACACAAACAAACACACCACACGCGTGCAGACGGCGGCACAGTACTGGCCAGAGGAGAACGAGGAATGCGAGTGCGGCCCTTTCCTCATTGAGACCGTCAGTACAGAGAGGGACAAGGAGGTGGTCGTCAGGCAGCTGCAACTCAACTATTATGCTAATGTTGGTCGGGGGGGGGTGAGGGCCTGCCGGTGATGATGACGTAATAATGACGTTGTTGGTTTGGTTGTGTGTGTGGGCGGGTCTAGCTGATGTCGTAATAATGAGGTTGTTTGTTTGGCTGTTTGCGTGGGCGGCTTGCCGGTGATGACGTAATAGTGCGATGATTAAAAGTTGGTGATGTGGATTAAGATGATGATGATGAGCATGAGGTTTAAGATAATGATGAAGATGGCGCTTTTAAGGTGATTGTATTGCCACACCTCACCGCAACCACCACAGAACCAGAGCAAGAGGCAGTCGACAGCGACGACGACAGCCACACCACCAACCACCAAGGCTACCGATCCTTCTGACCCTACCACCGCCGCCGCCACCACTACCACAACTACAAACAACACGTCATCATCATCAGCACTCCTCGACACTTCAAACCCAAAAGTTGAAATACTCGACGATGAAGTTCAAGCTCAGCCGAACGAATCTCACCAGGTGACCCATCTGCAGCTTTGTGATTGGTCGCCGGATCAGCTGTTCCCGCCCTCCGAGCTAGCTTTCATACGTTTGGTCGATAGAGTTGAAGAGATTATGAAGAAGAACCCCGATCAACCAGTCATCGTTCATTGCTTGTTAGTGGTTGGCGGGGTTTGGGCGTTTGATTTGATTGGTTGGTTGTGTGAATGATTGCATTTGATTCATTATTTAGTTGGTTTATAATTTACTCATTAGGATTTTGAAAGCGCTTTTGACCACTCAGCTCACACTCTCAATTTCTCAATTCACTCCCGCTTTTTCTCTTTCACTCCCTTTCAATCGTAATTGATTGCTTATATGTCCAATCAATCTGTCAGTGAACCAATCAATCAATTAATCAATTAACCGACCAATCATTCAACAGACCAATCAATCGATCGATCGACTAACCGATTAACCAATCAATCAATCAATTGAACAACACAACAGTCAATCATCAATCGATCAACCGATTCACCAATCAATCAATCGATCGATCGACCAACACAACACCCATCAATCAACCAGCCAACCGATCCACCAATCAGTCTATCGAATCATCAATCAACAAGTCAAATCATAAGTCACTTGATCGAGAAATCAATCCGTCAGTGAACAAAACGAAACAAACTGACCCACATCCAGGGACGGGGCGAGGCAGAGTGGGCTCTTCGTGTCGGCGTTGTGTGTGTGGGAGAAGATGAAGGACGAGATGGAGGTGGATGTGGTGGAGAGTGTGAGGAGGCTGAAGGAGTGTCGGAAGCAGATTGTCGATTGTCAGGTTGGTTGGTTGGTTGGTATGTTGGTAGGTTACCTGGTTGGTTTTTTGGTTGGTTGGTCGGTTGATTGTCAAGTTGGTTGGGTGGTATTGGTTAGCTTATTTGTTGGATGGTCGGTTGGTTGGTTAGTTTGGCTGACGTGTTGTCTGGTTGATTGGTCGTTTGTTTGGGTGCTTCTTTAAATAATAAATATTCATTTTTTATTTATTCAGACAAATTTTATTTAGACAAATCTGGGATACACAGAACCTCAAACGAGCTTGTATGGCCACCCTAACCAAAAATAAAAAATACACATTCGTTATAAAATAACAGAAGAGTTGAAATTAAAAATGCAAATGTCAAAATCGTATTCAATTACAACTTTTAGTAATATACACGTGAGCATCCACATACATGTAAAATAACAGATAATTTGAAATAATGAAAAAAAATAATTAGCAAATGTCAGTGGGGAAATGATTGTTATTAATAATATCAAAAATTATGTTTTGGAACTGAGTGTAGTTATTATTACAATGAGATTCTTACGGTAAAAGATTCCATAAATTTAAACCAAAAATGAATATAAAATAATGAAATTCTGGCGGTAAAAGATTTCATAATTTTAAATCAAAAATGAATATAAAATAATGAAATGATGAAATTCTGACGGTAAAAGATTCCATAATTTTAGACCAAAAATGAATATATTGGTTGAATATAACTCCGTTCGTGACAAGACAATATGATATAGCAGCGTTTGACGAGTGGTTCTCAGAGAATATGAAGACGATTCAACCAAATATGACTTAAATTCAGGATATCTTTTTAAGACAATTAACATGAATAAAATAATAAAACTCTAAATAAATGAAGTTTTGATACAGTTAAAAGTCTAGATTTAGAGAAAACAATGCGAAACATGGTCAAATTTTTTCAGGTTGTAATATGATAGATTCTAAAAAAATTAATATTAACATTTATCAAGTAA